GTGAGTGGTCAGGTCCCTTTTTATTAGAAATAATAATCAATTAACAATACAATTAACAATGTTTCTAGTGTTATACTTTCTAATACAATTAATAATAATCTATTATTTACTTTTACTTTCTAATAATACAAATTCCTTAAAACTAATATATACATATAGTTATTAGTTCATGACAGACGGCCCTGAAAACAGTAACAAAATTTGATTGTAATTGAAATGAATAGTCTTTGTTAGTTTTGCTTGTGTTTTATTGCGTTCTTAATTTCTTATTCTAATTTCGTGATACATTGTAACACCTAAATACTTCAACATTGTTACATTTTTTATTATGTTTTGTGGTCATTTTCAAACCAAGCATCATCTTCACATGTTACTTTAGAAAATATGTTATAATTTCTATAAAATTCAGTTTTAACTTTAATTTAAAAATTTGTATGGATTTTTTAAATGGATGTGATTAGTACACTGTGTGACGTAGTTGATGAAATTAGTTATTGTGAACATCATATAATTAAGTGTAACTGCTCAGCAATTGGTAATGCGGTGTTACTGTCTAGATAGTATTAATTTCGTGGTCAATAAAAAACTAATTTTGAACATTGTAATTTAGTAATAACATAATTAAATTTTCCTAAATAATGCAATCGCACATTCCCTTTTTATATTTTATCCGTTGTACAATCGTTCATAACAAATTATCATTGTGATAACAAAACTCCCAGCTGACCACTTCAGTACTGTCAATAATTCAAACGGTCCCAGATGTCTGTCAACGAGGCATGCATTGTTGTCGGCGTTTGTTTCCCCTTCCGGTCCATGTGTGTCGTCGCCTTCAAGTGGTCTGGCCGTTTTGTTCAAAATGTGTTTTGGCCGGTCGTCGAATTTGTCTCCAGCCATCTACTTATTTTTTGCGTATATTAGAGATGGGATTTTTGACTCACTGATATGAATCAGTTCATTTGAATCAGTTCACTCTAATGAGTTGACTCAGTGAGTCAACTCCAAATCGCAACTCCCAAATCGTCGAATCTTTAAAGGCGCGATTCTGACTCGTGAGTTGTAGAAGTTTGTGGAACGCGAATTACAACTCGCAAGGCATACTCGTAGAGTTCTTTCTAAATGTGCCTTAGTTATCTTAGCTAGATTAATATCAATGAATTATTGTTTTATACAAATGTGAATAATAATTCATTTTACTTATTGTAAATAATTATTATTTATTAACTACTACTGTGAAATGAAATGTAATATTGCTATCAATAATTTTTTATTCATTATTTGTTTATATATATATA